CTGCTCACACACCTGCTCACACACCTGCTCTCTCTGCAGGACGACTTGTTCAGCTCCACAGACTGGAACCAAGCTGTGGCGTCTAATGAGGACGAAGCCATCGAGCTGACCATGTACCGACAGAGCGGCTCCCGGGCCGCCGGGGCCCCCGTGTCGCTCTCTGCGGCTCAGGGGCCGACGGGGTCTCTTCCAGACGAGCTTGGGCCGGCGGAGAGAGGAGAGGCCCCTCCCCTCAGAGAAGTAACAGTTGATCAGTTTTCGAACGATCGTCACTTCTGCATTCGACCTGAACTCAGCTGCTTCTCTCCTCAATCTGCAGATTTCTGCCAAGTTTGGTGAAAATCACCGGTTCTGCAACATCAAGGTACGAACATGTTCACTCTGCTGACACCTAGTGGTAGGACCAGAGAAGGACACTGTTGACAGCAGGTGATCAGACTGTAAATCTGTCACGTATCAGATTTCTGACACAGGAACGGAGAGGCGGAGCCCTCGTGACACACTGACCTTCAGGCCAAAGAGAAGAAACATTAATAAAAGTAACTGTGATGAGGACGATGATGTAGAACACCTGTGCTCAGAAACATGTGTGTCTTCTCTGTGTCAGTGTTATGTAGATGGACCGTATGGGACTCCCACCAGACAGATCTTTGCCTCTGAGCACGCCATCTTGATCGGCGCCGGTATCGGCATCACACCCTTCGCCTCCATCCTGCAGAGCATCATGTACCGGTGAGAGGCTCCTCCTCCTGTCACACTGGTCACTTCCTGCAGCATCTCTTTCTTTGAGACGCAGCTGAACGTAGCTCGACCGTAATCCTGGTGCGGAGCAGGCTCGCTCTAGTATAAGTTACCACGGTGACTGAGCAGGACTTCTTTTAGGCCATGAACAGATCTCTCACTTAAATAACCCAGGAGAAGTGTTAACCCCCAGATGTTAGTTAATCTGTTTACACCGACACATGCATGGTCAGTGTACGACAGGAGTCATGTGATATGTGCCAGAGGTCCGAGTAGACAAACACATCTGAAGAAGAAACGAACGAACGGTTGAATGATGCTCACGTGTCACCTGATCACGACCTGGGGGTGTGTTTGTTTGATGCAGATACCGACGCAGGAAGCAGAACTGTCCCAACTGTAACTACTCGTGGTGTGAAAACATTAAGGACAGCGACATGAAGCTACGCAAAGTAAGAAAACCACGCACACGAGTCATGTGGTGTGTAACATGTGGATCAGTCTGATGAGTCTGTGTGGATCCTGCAGGTCGACTTCATCTGGATCAACAGAGACCAGAAGTCGTTTGAATGGTTTGTTAGTTTACTGACCAAACTGGAGATGGACCAGGCCGACGAGGAGCCGGAAGGTGAGCGAGAGACATAAGACAGCACAGAGAGAGAGAGAGAGAGAGAGAATCATTCCTGTGTCCTTACAGGACGATTCCTGGAGATGCACATGTACATGACGTCAGCGCTCAGTAAGAATGACATGAAGGCCATCGGCCTGCAGATGGCGCTGGACCTCCTGGCTAAGAAGGAGAAGAGAGACTCCATCACTGGGCTGAGGACCAGAACCCAACCTGGGAGACCTGAGTGGGGGAAGGTGAGCGGAGTCACATCAAGACACTGAATTATTCAAGTGTTTGAACACGTCTGACACCACGATCAGTGATAAAACATCAGGATTCATTCAGGATGTGTTCATCAGTTCCCTTTCAATCAGCAGAGCAGCAGGACACGAGCAGTGAGCGGCTCTTACACCATCATTACCCTGAAAACAGTTTGAGAGAAATAAAAGAGAAAGTCTTCTGCTCATCGTCACACATGACGACTTTAATGTTGAGATTTCCGCTGATGAGTGACGACGTTGATCTGTGACCTGTTGAGAAACACTTTGTGTTTCAGGTGTTTCAGAAAGTGTCCGAGGAGAACAAGGGGAAGGTCCACGTGTTTTACTGCGGCTCTCCGTCTCTGGCTAAAGTCATCAAGGCTCAGTGTGAACACTTCAGCTTCAAGTTCTACAAGGAGAACTTCTGAGTGTGTGAGTGTGTGTGTGTGTGTGTGTGTGTGTGTGTGTGTGTGTGTGTGTGTGT